AAACTGCTGTACGTTCATATGAGGAAAGGCCCTGCTGCCTGGAAAACATTGTTTCCTTGTTTTCATTCATCACCTCTAGCTCTTAAATCTTTCTATCCCTTTTCCACATTGATCCCTGAGAGCTGGGAAGCAGGTTTTGACTTATATCTTTCACGCAGGTTTAAGAAATCTGCAGTGTCTTATTCTCTGTACCTTCACCATTTGTGGAATTCTTTGTTAGCCAAAATCAGCTTCAAGAAGAAGTTTCTGTGGTGAGAGTTGAGAGATGTACTAGTCTGTGGGTATAACAATAACTCATTAGGAGTCAGTTTAAAATTAGGTTTATTTAGGAGAATAATAGTAATAAGTTCTCCCTTATGGGTTCTGACCTGTCTAGACAAAGGTTCTTGGGCCTAATATCAGTGTCACATATGGGCTCCATCTTGTGAAGCAGACTTAAAATCCAATCAGAAAGTGGTTGGCTATTATCATAACATTCTTCCACTCACACAGCGTGCATACCCTGGCAGGTCACTTGTTATTGTAGTTCACGTTTCACAGCTGGGAAAGGCTGATGATTACTTTTCTTTTCTGGTAGTATGCAGAGCACCTTCAAGAAAGAGGAAAGCTAGTCAGCAAAGATAAAGCTTTAACGTCAGTACCAGCTTGATTTTCCCATGTTTGTTCTATGACTTTGGTAAGTAGTTTTTTTCAGCAATAGGGCCTTACCATCAAGTTCTGGTAGGTAAAGTTTTATGTGGCTTATATGTGATATTCTTCATTTTAATGGACATGCAATGCTATAACATCTTATTTTAATTTGTAATTTATTGAAGGCTGATTATTTTCGTGTCAGTTTTGGCCATTTACAAATGCATATTTATTTTTTATTAAAAATGAAATTTTAATATTAAAATTGCTTAGAATTCTCTCTAAAATACTTATTAAGCTTAATCTTTATTTCAATTAGTTTTAATATGCAGGGTATTTTAGAAAAATCATGCATATTTTGTTGTTATATTGTAATATACTATAAATTATATATGCACTTCAACCTTTAATGAATAAAACACTGTAATTTTGCTACATATAGCATAATATTTTTGTAACTTTCTGGATTTTTTTCATTTCTGAGAATTTTATTTTCATTATTTCCACTCCCTCCAACTCCCTCCAATTTCTTTTCCATGTCTTTGATTATACTTATTACATCTACATACTTCCACACATACATACAAACACACACACACACATAAAAATGTATAAATGTGCTCATATGTATAGGAGTAGATAACCTCTCAGGGTTCAAGCCCTGAAAAAAACACTTCTCCCTTCATCACTGTCCATTGATTGCCTGTAGCTCTTAATCTTGAGGTTGAGCCTGTGAAACTTCACCATCTCCCCTGGTATGTCAATTGATTTTTCATTATGTGGGGTCATCTTAGACTACCATATTCTTGAGATTTCTTGGTATAACTTCCTTATCATGTCTAGACTATATTAACTACAGCAGATGTCTAGCTCTTACAATCTTTCCACCTCATCTTCTACAATGTTACCAGAGTCTTAGCTGTAGAGGTTGAATTGTTGACCTATCCCTTGGGGCAGGGAACCTAACAGTCACTTATACTCTGTAGTGTGAAAAGTTCTGGAGCTGTATAAACAGTCTCTATCTGTTGCAAAAAGAAGTTTCTTTGGTAAGTGGTAAGGGGTACACATGTATCTAAGAATCTGGAGCTGGGATTCACAAATGAGAGAGACCTTGTCACTTTTTTTTTTTCCTGAGTCTGGGTTACTTCACTTACTATAACAGGTCCTAGAGGGGTCCATTCACCTCTGAATTTCATGATTTCATTTTTCTTTACTACTGAATATTAATCCATTGTGCGATTGTGCCACATTTTCAATATTCATTCATCATTTGGGGAGCAAAAATAAGCATAAATGACCTAGTATCTCTGTAGTAGACTAACTAGTTCTTTTGGTGTATGCCAAAAAGCGGTATAACTGGATCGTATGGTAGATCTATCTACTTTTATTTTTTGTTTCTTTATTTTTTGTTCCTTTTGAGACAAGATCTCCCTTCTAGCCCCAGCTGGCCTGGAACTTGGTATGTAGACTAGGATGGCCTTAAACTCACAGATATCCACCTGCCTCTGCCTCCTGAGTGCTGGAATGCTGGGACTACAGGCGTGTGCCACCACGCTCAGCTCTACTTTTATTTTTTGAGAATTCTCCAAACTGATTTCCTTAGTGTCTGCACCAGCTTTCAATCCCATAAACAGTGGACGAGGGTACCCCGATCCCCATCTCCTCATCAGCATTTGTTATCACTTGTTTTCATTGATCTTTGTCATTCCAACTGGTATAACGTGAAATTTTCTTTAAATATATTTTTAATTGAATTTTTGTGATTTCATACACTACACTTTATGTTTAGCTCTCTTTCCTATCTGAACCTCCCTCATAGCCTGACACAGGACTTCATGCATTTTATCAAATATATTAAGGACTATTGGGTCATGTCTCTGAACCCAGATGTCCCTCGGTGAGAGTTGGTCCTATGGAGCTTGTTGAGCCTGTCTAGTGTCATTTCCTTAAATATTTACTCTCCCTCACCCAGCAGGGATTAGCTGCCAATAGTACCTTGCCAAAGTTGTAGTCTTCTGCCCCTTTTCCAAGCTCTATGTTGAGTTTTGTCTGATTGAGTTTGCATGGGTCTTGTACACGTTGTTACCATTGTGTAAGTGCATATTTTCAAGTTTCCAGGTTCTAGTCCCCTTTCTATGACTCTATTTCCTTATGGTCATGTACCTCCTCCCTGGTTCTAATAATCTTTCCACTCCCTCTTCCACAAAGGTCCCTGAGCCCTGAGTGGGTGAAGCTTAATATAGGAATCCTGTCCAGGGACCACACTCTGCAGTCTCGTAGTCTATGTACTTTGGCCAATAGTGGCTTTTGTATTCATAACCCTTTCAATGGGAGGAAACTCACGAGTGACACTGTAAATGTAGCCCTGTCTCTGTAATATCTCTAGATACCTGAAATTTCTTACTCTGCGCTAAATATGGATTCTCATATTTACAGACAAGTATGCCTGTCATCAATCATCAAAGAAGCTTTTTTTGAAAAAGATGAAATTTCTTTTTTTTCGTTTTCAAGATTAGTTTTTATTGAATTTTTTTTGTATTTCATACAGAACATCTCAAACAATCTTAGTCATCTTTATACTCCCGTCCCCACCAGCACCTTCCCACACACCCCCACACAGAAACCCACATACTCTGTTATCCATGTTAAGGTCCACTGTGTCAAATCATTGTCCTCAAACTTTCCCCAGTGCAAGCCCATTTACTGAGGTCTAGTCAGCCTATCCGGAATCCCTTGTTTTAAGAAGATCAGTTCTTCTTCACCTAACAGTAATCAGTTGCCAATATTTCCTCAGGTATGTTTGGGGTCTGCTGTTAATATCCATAGTTCCATGCTGGATTTTTGTCTGCCTGAGTTTGCATGGGACTTGTGTATGCTGACACTCACCATTGCCATAGAATCATATGACCAGGTTCCCAAGAGCTTGTAGGACTCTGTTTCCACATGGTCCTGCACCTCCTCCCTGGCTCTTAAAATCTTTCTACCCGCGCTTCCGTGATAGTCCCTGAGCACTTGGTGGGTGTAGATTAATATAGGCATCTTCTCTTAGGACCAGCATTCTGCACACTCTTAATCTCTAAGTTTTGGTCATTTGTGACCTTTTGTATTCCTGGCCCTTTGTTGCATGAGGAAGCACATTAATGAGAAATGAGAGATTCATTAATTAGTGTCCTTTTCTTTACCCCTGATCTATGCTCTGTGGGTCTTAGGTGTAGAGGTTGCATTGTAGATGTGTCACTTAGGCCTCGGCAATTCATAGACAAGGTCTGTGTGTGGCTAATTGTAGTACATAGTAGTTATCTTTGGTACAAAATAAGCTTCTTTGATGAGTGGACTGTTAACTGGTATATTTTTCTATAAATATCAAGATAAGTCTTGGGGTTTTCTCTAAAATCTATGATCACTCCTGTCATGTGTCTTCGGTTATGTTTATAGGACACACGAGTTTCCTCCCACTGAGTGGGCTTTTAGTCCAGTTAGGTAACTGTTGATTGCCCCCCACCCAAATAAAAGTGCCACTACTGCACCAATGTTGTACCCTGTGCCAGCCATTGATTTGGTTATTTGGTCTTGAAGCTGGTGTTAGACCATCAACTGATGTTTTCCCTTGCCACTTTCATATTGTTTTCCAAAGCTATGAGAGTTAGCCTTCTGGGGAAGTGATTTCCGGTCAGTTGCAAATCTACTGCTCCAAATCCTGTGTCCAAACCAAAGTATGTTCTGTCTTCAGCAGTAGGAGCTTACCTTCAAGTTCTGGGAAACCATCAATGGCTGTGGCAATAGACTGTGTAATCTTGGAAGTCTCTTGGACCACCCTGGCCAACCCTTCATGGAAGGTTTCACCTGTCCGGCCCTTTCATATTATATAGCTTTTAGCTATACGCATGGACTCATGTAGAGATACTGTGTGTATATTTGTCATCAGGTTGTTGTACTAATATGATTCCTTCTGTTTTTTAAAACTAGCTAGACATTATTTTTCTTCCCTCTCTCCCTGTCTAACCCTTCTGCCATGGTTTCCCCACTTAAAGTGTCCCCATTTCCTCTATTTCTCCCTTGATACCAGTCTCCTATGGTCCCATCCCTCTTGAACTACTTTCCCTTTATCTCCAAAGTGCCTTTGTATAATCCTCCCTCACACTTCCCATTTAAATAGCCCCATTTTTCTCCACTTTTCCATTAGTAAAACACCTGCCTCCTAATGTTCTTCTCTCTCATGTTCTTTCTTTACTTTTACCTCCGTGGTTCCTTTTTGTTATTCTGGCTCCTGTAGTTATATCTGGGTACACACAAATAAGGATTTGTTGCTAGGATCCACATATGAGGGAGATCAAACATTGTTTCTTTTTCTGGGTTTGTGTTATTTCACTTAAAATATGGAATGCTTCACAAATTTTCATGCCATCCTTGTCCAGGGACCATGCTAATCTTCTCTGCATCGTTCCAATTTTAGTATATATGCTGCTGAAGTGAGCACTAATGATGAAATCTTAATGTAGTTTTAATTTGTATTTCCTTAATTGAAAGTGATGTTGAACATTTTTAAGATGTTTCTTAGCCATATTTATTTATTTATTTATTTTTTGAGAGCTCTCTGTTCAGATCTGCAGCCCATTTTTAAAAATTGAGTTGTATGTTTTATTGGTGATTTTTTTTGTCTTTTTGAGACAGGGTCTCCCTGTAGCCCCAACAGTCCTGGAACTCACTAAGTGGACCAGGCTGGACTTGAACTCACAGAGATCCGCCTGCCTCTGCCTCCCAAGTGCTGGGATTAAAAGCACATGCCACCATGCCAGGCTATTGGTGACTTTTAAAAAAATACTTTGTGTATTCCTGAAATTGACTCTCTCTCAGATATATCACTGGCAAAGATTCTCTCCCATGTATGGTCTTCCTTTTTCTTCTGCTAGTGGTTTCCTTTTCTACAGACCAGATTTTTTTTTTTTTTTGAAGTCTGATTTGTCAATTGTTGCACTTATTTCATGAACAAATGATATCTGATTTAGAAAGTTCTTTTTCTGCACCTGTACCTTGTAGGTGTGTACTGCCTTTCTTCTTAGTGTTAGTGTTTCAGGCTTCACATTGAGGTCTTTCATCCATTTGGACTTGATTTTTTTGCAGGATAATAGACATGAGCCAGTTATCCCAGGATCATTTATTTTTGAAAATTTTGTATTCCCTCTAGTGCATATTTTTGGCACCTTAAAGAAACATCAGGTGACTAAATTGTGAGCCCTAATGCTTGAGAATTCTATTTTGTACCATTGATCCATATGTCAATTTTTGTACTAATAGCCTGTTGTTCTTATTTCTAAAGCTCTGTAATATAGTTTGAAATCTGGTATTTAATCATCCAGCATTGTTCTTTTTGGACAGGTTTACTGTGGATATCTGAGGTCTTTTGTAGTCTCCTCTGTATTTTAGGATTTTTTTTCCTATTTATGTGAAAATTTCATGAAGATTTTGATTGAGATTGCATTGAATCTGTAAATGGCTTTCTGTAGGATGCTCATTTTTATAATATTAACTGCATCAATCCGTGGGCACTAAAGGGTCTTTCCATCTGATAGTGCTGCCTTCAATCTCTTTCTTCAAAGATTTTAAGTTTTCATTGTAGATATTTTAAATGTCTTTTGGTAGATTTATTCCTAGATATTTTCTTTTCTTTTTGATATTATTGCAAGTAGGAATGTTTCCATGATCTCTTTCTCTGACTTCTTGTTATTGGTAAAGGTAATGTTTGCAAATCGAATTTCTATCTTGATACTTTATTAAAAATATTGCTAATTTCTAGAAGTTTTCTGATGGAATTTTTGGGATCTCTTAAGTATAATATCATCTTCTACAAATAGGGATAATTTAATTTCTTCTTTTCCAATTAATACCTTTTAAATTTCCTTCTCCTCTCATGTTGCTCTAGCTAGGTTTTCAAGGACTATATTGAAAAGGAGTGAGGATAGTAGACAGCCTTGTCTGGTTCCTGATTTCAGTAAGAATGACTCCTGTTTTTCTACATTTAGAATGATGTTGTCATATATAACCTTAATTAAATATTGAGGTATATTTCCTCCAATGCAGTTTGCTCTGGGGCTTTTACATGAAGTTATGTTGGATTTTGTCAAAGGCATTTCTTTATCTATTGAGGTAAACTTTAACTCCATTTAGGATTTATTACACTTATTGACTTATTTATATTGAAAATTCACAGCATCTTTAGAATAAAGTAAAGTTGATCATGAAATGACTTTTTAATATGTGCTTATAAGTAGTTTGCAAATGTTTTATTGTGAAAATTTGCATCTATATTCATCACGGATACTAACCTGCAGCTTTCATTTTTTTGTTGAGTTTTACCTTGGTATTAGAGTAATATTGACTTCATAGAAGGAGTTTGGGAATTCTCTTTGAAGTTCAGGTAAAATTCAACTGTCAATCTATCAGGATATGGGCTTTGTTTTAAATAGAGGAGGCTTATCATACTACTCTTTCAACTCATTATTTGTTATGGATATGTTCAACTTGTTGATCTTTCTTTGCTTTAACTTTTTGGTTCTATTGAATCTAAAAATCCATCCATTTATTTTCCATTTCATAATTTAATGAAGCATAATTTCTTAAAGTAGTTCCTCATCATTTTCTGTATTATGTTGGTGTCTGTATTAACATTTTCATTTTTAATCTATAATTTTGTTGATTTGTATTTGCTTTTTCTTCATTTTTTTAGCTGTATTAAGGATCAGCCTATAGTATTTATCTTTTCAAAGAACCAGCTCTTAGATTCATTAATTCTTTGTATTGTTTTCTTTATTTGTATTTTATTGATTTCTGCTATTTTTCCTAGCTGCTGAATTTGGGTTTGACTTGTCTTTCCAGAATTATTATTTTATGTGTCAAAGATATTTTTTGAGTTCCTGGCTTAATTATTCATGGTCTAAATATTGTCTTCTGATTGAGTTATAATTTCAAAACCCTCAAAATTCCATATGTATATTATTTTATTTTCTTTCTTGGACAATAGTTATTGTGTCTTAAGAAATTGTTGTTTGCTTTATTGTTGTTTTTATCCTTTACATCTTCTAGCAAGTTTATGGTTCAATATTATGCTTTTAAATACGTGATTCATACAAAGTATTTTTTGTTTGTTTCTTGAATGAGTTAAGAGTCAATGCTCATGTTTTTCTTTCTGAATATAATTACGCATTTGTTTACACAAAAACTCTTTTGTTAGTAATTTTTCCATCACTGTAACAAAACACCTGAGATAATCAACATAAAAAAGAAAAATGACAATTTGCTTGACAGTTTTAGAGGTTTCAGTTCATGGTCGTTTCTTGAAAGAGTCAATGCTCATGTTTTTCTTTCTGAATATAATTACGCATTTGTTTACACAAAAACTCTTTTGTTAGTAATTTTTCCATCACTGTAACAAAACACCTGAGATAATCAACATAAAAAATAAAAAAGACAATTTGCTTGACAGTTTTAGAGGTTTC